TTTTTTTGATCTTAAACATGAAGTGTTCATTTCATTGAAGTTTAATCTAAAATACCGTTACTTTTAAAATGGCACCACTGTAGCCTCGGAGGTGTACAATGTTCGAGCCAGCGAGGAGGACATTATGAAAGAAATAATGGTTCGTGGTCCAGTTGAAGCCGACTTCATCGTATACGCGGATTTCCTGACCTACAAGTCCGGTGTCTATCAGCACGTTAAAGGAGGGTTCCTGGGAGGTCATGCAGTGAAGATATTGGGTTGGGGCGAGGAGAATGAGGTGCCTTATTGGCTTTGTGCAAATTCCTGGAACACCGATTGGGGTGATGGTGGATTCTTCAAAATCCTTCGTGGTCATAACCACTGCAACATAGAAGCCGATGTGAATGCTGGTATTCCGAAATTAAGGGCTTAAGCATAACTATTTTAAAACTTTGGCTTATGTTAAAGTCAGTGCTATTTATTACATTACTTTGATGCAGCCTGAGCTCATCCACCTTTTTTTCTTTTTTTGGACATGGCAAAAAGAAGACACAGTCTTAAATATAGTCCATTTTCGATACAAGTTTTATTCTCAATAATGACACAGGAAGCTACAGTTTCTCGGAAGCCGAAGTTGGGTGTATTTCGTTGGCTGTTTGCTTAGCATTCGAGTTTGATGAAGCGATCACTTTCAGCCTTCAATACTGAGCATCCGCACAGTGGGCGAAAGCCTATAGCCATTCAAGAGGCTCTGATCCTAGCACTGCGCCTTTTATTTCATTTACAGAGAGGTTGTAGGGAGCAACAAAGGAAATTTCAAATCAATTAGTTTATGTTAAAAGTGGAGGGGCTGTGGGAATGAAAAGCAAATATGGCCATAAGCGAATGGGAATAGACCGCAGCGAAGAATAATTTGTTTATTTGATCACCTGAGTGGCCTCGGGGCCATGCCTACAGCCTTAGTTTTCTTTCTGTTTACTGACTACAATAATTACTTTTGCAAAGTTCTTCTCTTTGTGCTCTCCTTTTCCATAATTAGTATAGATACGAAGCAGTCGCTCGCTTTAAGGCATTTTATTTGGAAACAGGAGCAAAAGGAGGTGGCTTCCGTCTGCGCGCACACAAGCCAGCCGCTTTGCATTCACGGGATCTGAGTTGTTTATCCTCTGTCCATCTACAATACATGCCTGTTTGATTTCCGGCTTCAGTAACGGCCAATTAGGAGGCTAGGTTTCCACAGATGGTTGAGTCCGCCTCTGTGCCGTGCCATAATCTCCCACATCATTACTTTATGCTGAGCATTTATATTGTATTCAAGTGAAATTCACTTTCTTGACTCTATACATACCATTTGAATACTTTATTTATTCGACCACCCACAATTTGATTGACATATTGTTCTGCGTTTGGTGGGCCGGCCATCGGACCATGCCAAAGCCTCACTTCTGCCCTTCTTTTTTAATACAGTTATCTAGACTCCACACTCGCTTCAGCAGAAAGGAAACACGACTATTGTACAACTTGTATCCTCATTTCCATCTTCCGCTGCAAACTTTTGCGATGCGATGTCCTGCGTTCCACAGACAAAATGGTGACACTATCATGAAATGTCCGGAAGAGTTTTGGCTTGAAGCCACCCTTACACTATGCCAAATCTCTCTCCACTAAGGGCTATGTTCGATCCTGTTTTCCCCGTTACGGTTTTTTTTTTGCAGTACCAAACTCGCAATGGCTAGAGAGCTCAAATTAAGCGAAGAGCAATGTAATATGTTGCTTACTCTATTAGTTTTAGATGCGTTAATCACTTCGCATGTTAGTGGAATGACCCTCAGGCCGGTAGCGCCCCGAGACTCGCCCTAGACACAAGAAGACACCACTTTGGACAGAATGTATGTATTCTACGGGAAGAATAGGGGATAGGACCTTGGCATAGCCCGAAGGTTAGCCCACGCTTACAAGGACAAGGAGAATATTAGAGTCACCGACAGTCATCACATCATATCCAGTGCCACAAGGAAACCCACAAGCCAGCCTCGCCAGTTGTCAGATATCTTGGGAGTGAGGAACGGTATTTGATGTCATCAGAACCTCCAAATGAACCTGGAGTTGAGTTCGAATTGAGAGGAAAAATCGTGACAAGCAATTTCTGTTGTCAATCAATGGTGTCTACGATTAGACGCTGAAACAGTGGTCTGAAACGAATGTTAAACAGGGACGATGGGATCAAACACAGTCCCACATGAAAATGGATTTGCCGAGTATCATTTCCAATATTTGTACCCGGATGTGGTAAAGGGAATTCCAATGCTAAACTTTTGCAGGTGATTCACGGCGTGACGCTCCAATTTTTAATATCTTGCCTGTGGAACACGGAGGCAAGGTGTAGCTAAACGCAGATCTCGTTCTCAGCCCTTCTAATGCGAGAAATTCAAATGACCTCCTGCCCCATGTAAATGCATACAACGGATGCCAAAGTAACACCGGACATCAAATGGTTACATGAAAAAAGTATTACAGGGCCAACGCAAACCTTACGTCCCCCTTCTAAAATGCCCTTTGTAATGTGTTGTTTATATGCCCATCCGCATATCTGGCGTTACTTTGGTACATTCTCGCTCTTGTATGGGTGAGCTGTCCTTCAGACCAAGTCATTGTCTAGTCCCTTCTTAGCCCCCTAGAATACATGCATTCAGCCCAACTTAATGCCTTCTTTTACCTCGTGGTAAGCCTCAGGGCCCCAGGCCTTCTAATACTTGGTTAGAATTGCAAGGACGCCACTGTAACCCCCGAGACTTCTCACTAGGGAGAAGAAGGCATTAAGCTGGGTTGAATGCATGAATTTTAGGTTGATCAGAAGAAAGTGAGGTTTGGCATGGCCTGAAGGCCAGTGCACGGCCACCACAACAACGGCCAGAAATATAGATAGTCATGTAATACTTTGTTCATGTGGTCACCTGATTTCTGACGGGTTACTTTGTTATACGCCTAACTCTTGTAAACGTAACCTAGCCTTTGAGCCAAGCCCTATATTGTCCCTCTTTTCTCTCTAGAGTACATGTATGCAGCCCAATACACTGCCTCCTTCTACTTAGTGGGAAATGTGGCGACGCTACGAGTCACGTAAACGAAGCATTAGACCTGAAGCGATTGTAATAGAAAACTGCATACTAATCGCCACAATTTTTAAAGGCAACGCAATGTTTCGTTTATGTGACTACCTGACGTTTGACGGTCACTTTAGACTTTGTCTGACCACTGTACACGTGGGCTGGCCTTCGGGCCACGCTCAGGCCCCATTTGCCCTGTCGTCTTCGGAATACATGTATTCAACATCACTTATACCTACTTCCACCCTATGGGAAGCCTTGAGACCCCACAGGCTACATCACAAACAGTGAAAAGCCAAGTAACTAGGCAGGGTTTGACCACTACGTTGAGATTTTATGCAATTAAAAATAAGTCTTACAGAAGAATACTGCCGATCCCATGATTTTGCCATTTTGTATATTATCTAAAAGAAGTTGTATAACTTTTTCGAAGGCTAAGTGAATATTTTTAGCTGTGGAACTGCGACTGCTACAGTTTGAAGCAGTGTGCTCATAATGTGCAGGTAATTTCCCCTTACCAGGCATCCTACAGCTCATTCGAATCACATTGTCCTCGTCATTCTTCACCCACCTCGTCATAATGCTTAGGTCCATATCAACTTACTACCAAGTCTTGATTGACGTGGGAATCAGTTAGTACCATCTGTTACAAGTCGTTAATTCTAAAATTAAGTTTGTTTAAGTGTCTCTTTGTAACATGTCCTCGCCGCGCGACGCTCAAGTGTTGGAGGAGTTTGAGAGTCAATGTGATGTGGGTGCTACGCGGTTGGTATATATTTTAGAATCTCCTACTGGCACTCTCATCCGCAGACTTCTCGTCAGAGTCTAACTTTCTAGAATGCCGCTTCGGTAGGTAAATAGTGCGTTGGTAGAACCTATTTTAATCATTCACCGAGATTCTTCTGTAGCGAATGTAATCTGGTTAGCGGTATTTGTGCCCTCTTAAGTACGCATTTAAGTTTCCTGTATTGATGCCCTTTCAGTTTCAAAAGTTGACACTTTACTCAATTCTTCACGCGACATGGTTTATGTTAAGGCGCATTCACTTGTCGCAAAGTGTGGATTCGATATCCACATCTCTACTTCTAATAATTGCATTCTTTCACCGATATTCTGTTTTATACCGCCTTCCTGAAGCTGGTTTTCAATCTGAATTAAGCATTCCTTGCTCCGTTTCTAAAACAGCATTACTTATCTAGGTGATGTTACTGACCAATTCATTGACGCGTGTCGGGCTTTGGACTCATGGTTTATTCAGAAACGTCTTATACTTACCATGGAACGACCTGAATACCAGCTTGTTGACGTGAGGTCTGTTTGGACTATCATTATTTTATGCAGGAAGTTGCAGATCTGCAAAAAGAATTAGAGATAAAGACTAATCATGCCAAGTGTTTAAAGCAAAAGATTCGGGAGTACGTTTCTTCAATTAACACGATCGTTAACAAGGTAATGACAGCATCATACCATGCTTTTTTGTAGCTGACAGAAGGCGCAGCCCACGTGTCAGATGCTTAACAGTTGTTGATACCGTCGAAAGTTTCTAAATACATGACCTCTGTCTCATGTTCGCTTTCGTTTACTGAACTAATCACAGGGGGAAGTTCGTAGGTGTACCTCATGTGTCCCAGTATATTCATCCTCTTGAGTTCCGTCTTGTGGGGCTGGATCTGGCAGGCGCCTGGTCAGCGGTTTTCGTCTCTGTGTTGCTGTGGTGGCTTGCTTCCGTTGACATTATCTGGTCGGGATTCGAAGTGGAGTGGGCGGGGGATGGACTGCAGTGGGCGCGTAGGCGTCGAGCTCCACTCGGTGGCTTCCCCTGTCGGGGCTCTTGCTAGGGTGTGAGCAGCACGTGGGTGGGTGGGGTCTTCTCGGTCTTCTCGCTTACTTGATTTACGGAGTTCAGGTAGCCAAGGTGTAGCAGACTAAGCGTGGGGTTTGATGGTAGGTAAAAATGCTGGGGTGGGGCCATGCTGGTATAAAAATTGCGTAGCATACTAAACTCGCTAAACTTGTATATTATATTAGAGAGAGGCAAGACATCGTTACTACTTAGGCAGATGTGCGCATTAACTAAATACAACCTTACTCATTATTGTTATTTTCTACATTTGCGCACCATACATGTGAATTTACAAAATTAACTTTTACCAATAACATGAAAGTGATGTGCAAGTGGCATGCATGTGCTTATTCACTCATCCGGCAGAGGGGCATCAAAATATGTTAGAATGACCTAAGCAGAGGCGCTCTGATTGAGCACCTATTTGGGTCTAAAGTGTGACTTGGTGGGTGAGGTCGTTGTCTTACTGTGCAATAATGGAAGGATAGGGAGGTTTTTTCACTATGGGGTCGCTTAACCTGTTTCTTTAGTCGCATTTTCTTCGTATTTTGGATGTTGGCTAGCATTCTCAGTTGCGTTTACTAATATGGGTGTCTCATTCGTTCTCATTCAGTGCTTTTCTCCCAGCGTCCTTTTGTTTTGCTAACCTATAGCTTTTAACAGGTGTTCTTAGACGTTTTGTATTGGACGCCTTGGAGATTCAATCCAGATCATGCGGCTTTGTTGACATTTGTTCGTGTATCAAAGTAATTGCTACTGAAAACTGTCGATCCCCCATTAGTATGTGGAAGTTCTCGATTTGCTTCATTAACGCTCGAACCTTGTCACTTTTTTCTTCAGGGGTTTCCCTTTGGTTGATAAGGTCTTCATCGATAGCAAGGTGCAGCCTCACAGAGTGTGGTAAAGCTTGAATGCGTATTTATTGAGCTCGTACTTCATTAAGACTTAGTTGATTTCACCGCTCCTGTTCTCTCTCTTTCTGTTTATTTACTTGTAGTTGTTTTGTCCACCTCTTGGTAAATATTATGGACATTGGTCAACAATTTGATTTTCCAGATTGATATTTACATCGACATGGGTGACACTGAATTGGTACTGAATTCCACTGGAAATCAGTTTTCGAAATTCGTAAACGAGGTTTCTCTGGATGATTTCGTTGAAATCCCTCTCGTTTCTGATGGGGAAAGTGATACCAGTGAGCGTTGTTCTATTGCGATTTCACAAGACGAAAAGCACTCTTTAATCGAGTTAGAACCGGTCTTTCCTCCACAACCTGACTCGCACTCGGCCATACAAGCCTTTTTCGAATCCACGTACACACCATCTCCCAAACGCTATGCATCTAATATACATTCACCTGTCGGTGGTACGGGTTGTCAAGATTTGGACGTTGACGTCGAAGATCTTAAATTTAATGAAGACTTAGCCAACGCAATGCGGTACCAATGCTCTCTTTTCAGTCCGTCCCTTGTTCGCGCCATTAACTCAGACATTAAAGAAATCAAGCGCTCACTGGCTACTTCTGTCGCTTCAGAAGACGATAAGCCGAAGTTTTCACAAAAGCAGGAATCATTCCTCTCCTCAACATCACTTCAAATGAAGGAATCACAAAACTCAAGGCGAATTAAAAATGCTGAAGGTATTTTTGACCACGACCTGACATTTAAATTTCATCGACACAGCAAACATTCCGGAGACCGCAGATGGCATGAACAGTCAAGGTATCAGAATGCGTCTTCCTGCTTGAGCATGAGCAATTGTCTTATTGACGTGCTGTTTCGGCAAATCCTGCATGCGTCCTTCGTGCCCTCCATAATTTCAAATCTATGACTCGTTTCTGTGCATGGTTTGGTTTGCTAGCCTGTGGGATCTGATGTCGATTACCGGCTAGGTTCCAATCTGCTCATTCGACATTCCTCCGTGAAACATTCGCATGCATGTAATTGTTATGTAATAGCTACCAAAATACTCACACGAATTCCTTATTTTTACGATTAGATCGTTTTTCGTCAAAAGAAGGCTTCATCCAACGAAGGCCAAGATGATCAAGTCGACTGGGCATCCGGATGGTAGGCTTTTGTTGAGAACTTGCTCCTTGTTTTCGTTAAGCTTGCCTCTATTATAATGTTTTTTTTTTCCTCACAAGGTGGCAAAAAGGATCCGTTGACAGTTCGCCAGTGGAACTTCGCAGCACCTGACAATGCTGTCTACAGTACATCGGAGAGCAGCAGCACCGCTACCAACTCGGACGCTGATGACTCGGCAGCCTCAAATTTCTCCCAACCGCCATCGACCCCACCATTGCAGGTGGCCTCTCAACCTAATGACATTGATGCCACTACTGTTGGAATGCAGGATGGCGAGTGGTCTCTAAGGCGCTGTCCCCCTTGCCCCCGCACCTTGCATCCGCCTCCCAGTGGATTTTTAAGTAGCCAAAGCAATAAGGCTTTGGGCTCCGCCCACGGTTCCAGCTCTCTTGCACAACGTTCACAAAGGGGGAGGAAATCCCAAGTACCTGAAGCTGGTTAGCTGATTGTGTCTTTAGTTTCCTTGATGCCATTAAGAATGGGTAGTAGGATCTTATCCCGCTCTAAATATATCCTAACAAATGAATAATCAATTGACTTGCTATATCTACCTTTCATTAAACCTTTTATTGCTTATTTCGTCATTGACTTGAGCAGTTTTTAGTCCTAGATCACAGGGTTTGTGATTGGGCGTGTGTGCATTTACTCGTGGCCATCTCAGTTTTTTGAGGGAGGTGTTTGTTTTAAATGTTCATTTTGCTCAAGTTACAGCTTATTACACGAAATCCTCCTTCAAATTTACTTAGCGTATTCGGACAGATTGTAACTTGGGCTGCCTTTTTTGCGTATTTCCACATGGCTCTGATTGGTTACAGTGGCTTGGGCGAAAGTGCATTTCATTGCATATTGAGAAAAACTTGCATCGAATTGACTTTTTTCGGGATTCTCTTCCCCAGACCATAGGATGAAGCCCTGTTTGGCCTCGATTGGAACGCCTTTGATCAACCGAAGTACCGCCAAATGAGAAGACCCGAAATTGAATTGCATCGTTTGATTAGATTTCGGAGTTTAAGTATTTATTGAGGACCCAATATACTTTAATCTGCCGGTAATCCTCTTACTAGTGTCATTGTGAATTCATCCTTGATTGAGTACAATTTTATGCCGACTTTCTGCTATTGTGAATCGGTAGTTGCATTACCGAGATTGCAGGTTTCATTTCGCCCTTTTATTCTTGAATTTTTAACCGACCTCAACATTCGCAAGTAGATTCTTTAAAAAAAACTGACAATTAGTTAAAACTGAAAGTTTCGCCCTTGGCGCATCTCTGCATCTCACTTCAGCTCTCTGATCCAACGCCAAATTGCCGTACGCAGCCGGGACTTATCAAGCCACGATAACGCGTGCCCTCATCGGTTGCGCTTAATAAACTTTTTTTACCTCCCCATAATCGCAATAATTTCTTGCAAATTTGTGCATTTTCCATGCTTGTGCCGTGAACTCTGTGTCTTTAACTTATCCTACTGCTTGGTGGTCCCCGTGAACATGAATTAGTGAAAATATTGTTGCCAAAATAGTTTAATTAAGCGTTAAAGTATTATTCGACGTTGACACCGATTAGCAGTTTTGTGAATCGGTAAATTTTCTTATGGGATTTTTGAACCTTTTTGTAATTTTCTGGTTTCATTTTCGTGCTTTGGAGCATTTTAACAGTATCTCGGCTCTTCCCGCCTTTTCGGTAGGTGGGATTCTATAACCAAAGTTTGAATGTTAATGTCAACACAAGTCGGTTCACTGGGACAACCTAGGCCACGACGCACGCAACGTGGTTTCCGTGCCGTCTACGTATGGCCCATGTAACTATGATGAATAGTGAACTAACGGTTTTATTTTAGGCAGGAAACTGTTGTTTCACCTCATGCACTTACTATAATCATGCATTATTTTGAGCCTTTAGAGTTTCATTTGAGATTTTCTTTATACTGCATTATTTAACTTACTACCTTCATCCGGCTTTTAAGATTACGGGAGCGACGAGGACACTGATCAGCTCCTAGGGAAACAGTACCGTTCTGACAGGCCTGTCGAAATTCCCGAGTTGAAGGAGGAGGCTGAGTACTTGGTAGGTTTAAGAGCTTTAGCAAATAATTTAACTTTTGCATCAACTTTGGCTTGGTTATTGTAGCTAATCGTTAGTTTGAGCATACAGAAAAACTAATTAAACTTAAGGTTATGGAAATTCGTGCGGTCTCTACTTGAACTCTAACACTGAACCTTGTTAATCTCACATCCCTCCTTATTCGTGTTGACATCAAATACTAGTCGATTGACACTTTCGTTCTATGGTGGCAGTCGCATTCGCATGCTCTTTCTGCCCATATCTGCACAATTTCATTCTGAAATCGGATAATTTGCTCGAAAGAAAATATGACGTTCTCCACACCTGGAATCTTATGCCACGCGAGAGTAGTAGTTGTGTGGGCATACTGACTAATTGTTCATGTGAAACTTCAAATCTTAATTGATGCTTTTGAGAACGCGAATACTTTGCTTGACCCCTGTGGTACCCAGTTCTTTTGTTTGCAAACCAAGTGAATAAGTTTCTTTGTTTTTGAACGAATTACTAATTTTTACTCCGTCCTTCATGATGACCGAAACACTTGGGGCAAGGGAATGCATAAGGAATTTGATATCCAAACTCTTGCCCTCTTTTGCCTGTCTAGTTAGCGAGTGGTTCTGGTCGCTTCGCACTTGTTACCCTTTCTGCATCCTCAAATCACTCCGCCTGTCTTGTTTATGATTGCTTTAGCATTCTTTTGAATCACTAAGACGTTCACAGCTAACGGAATTTATTGCTTCTTCCGATAAAAAGGTTTCTTTTTACTGCTAAATAAATGCCTCTCACTTCAATCTATATGTGGAAATCTTATCCAAATCACTTGGGTGTCCAACTTGGAATAGTTCTAACGTTTCAGCACCTTGCCTACATAAGTGCTGGCTATTGCATAAAGCTTTTTAACGGTCACTCGTACATATTAAAACTTTCGCTCTCCCCTACCCCCAATAAACTTCATCTGATTCCGTACATTGCCTGTTCCTTTCTAGTCTGTGAAGAAACGCCGCGGTCGGGAGGGTGAGTCCACTCCTTGCTTGCTTTTTTTCTTACTATTTTTGGAGAGCCTTCTCAGTCACCTATGGCTTTCTGCGTTCTTCCCTTCAGTTTTTCATTGGTCAGGGCATTTCGTTAATTGATGGGTTTCCTAGTATTTAGACGTTTTCTATCCACTGAAGTACATGTTACCGAATCTCTTGCTTTTGCAGGTTTTGACACAATCCTTTAAAGTGTGTGTAGCTCGCGAATATTGCCAGGTTTATTGAAAACAAATTTAGAATATTCTAGGTTATTTTCTTTCATGCTATCATTCATTCACGTTCACTGAGCGTTAAACCTTCACTTACCACTCTTACTGCACCTCCAGTTGCTTGCCTGAATTATAATGCTGATGTGGTGCTCCCTATTTAGGGGTATCAGTTAATCGTAATCAGTTGCAAGACTTAATTTTGAGTATGTTTGAATGCTATCCGTTTCCACTTCTCCTTACCCCTCTCTCCCTTCAGTTGCTGTTCATCATCCGGATTTTCCCCACCGTCCTATCGAAGGCTGTCTCTACCGCTCTCGCTACCTGGGCAGCACTCAGCTGCCCTGCGAAGATCACCCCTCCAAATCTAACCGCCTTCATCAGGCGCAGGAGGCAGTTCAAAGAGTTAAGGTACTTCCATTTATTGGGCAGAGTTACCACAGTAGAGAGTACACCGATTTTATGCTTGGTCTTCCATGAGACTGCTAACGCTTTGCGGACGTTTAGCCTTTGGAACTACCGTGTGTAAATTGCGAAACACCTTTCAACGCATCATTACAACCGTGTGCACTGGACAATAACAATTTTAATACCAACAATACAAATCGCCGGTTTCTTTGAGAGTTGAAGCGTGGATTGCTAAGCATTCTCTACAATTCTGATGTACTAATTTGTGCCCCCTAGACGAAGTTCGTTTGCTTTCGTTAAGCGGATGACAGATGTACACAGTGCTCATAACTACATGTTTAGAAGCATTTCTCGTCGTTTCAACTTGGCATTAAATTTCTCATTGAATTTACACTTCATTTCAATTTCTCCCTTCATCAGGTGGTAGGTTGAGCATGAACTGTGATGCGAAACTGAGCATGAATTACCGTTTTTTAATTCCTTTCGCGAATGTTATCACATAGGTGCTTTTCTTTACTCTCCGTTACCAATTATTTTTGTGTCTTTCGTTTGCTTCCAAGTGTTCTTCATCGTTGTTGGTCATTGTCCTGATTCGCTGGTGCGTCTGCTGGTCTCCACATCATTTGCAGTTTACTTCAATTGCTTTAGCATATTTATAAAGTATCATAACAAAGTAAGAGCTTGGAGTGCTCATCAATGTTGTCGCCTCTTGACCACGATCAGAATTACCGTACTCGTCCTGTCTAGGTTTTTTCCTATGCGCATGTTGCTTCGGGCTGACTGTATTATGGTATATGTTCCTCGAGTTTCAAATTTATTTATTCGACTTTGAATTTTTTTATTTCAACATCGATTGAGGTACTTCACTGTCATTTTGTAGTCCCAATTTTCTTAATTAGGTCAGAGATTTTAAGTGGGGAAAGCGTTTAATAAAAGATTCATTGTAAAAGCTGAAGCGATTGCTTCAGGACCCATTTAATAATCCAAAATTCCTTCCTTTTCTTAAACCACAAGAAACGCTGAAGAACTGAATGGGCTTTACCATTATTATGGACTGGTTACGCAACAGCAATGTTATAGTTGTGTAAAACGTTAAGGGTTACATTCGAAGTTAATCGCTGGTATACTTAGGGGAAGTAATCTTTCGTCTCTCGAGACTGATAGCACCTAGCCATATATTATGCAAGCGTACTGCCTAAGAGTCGTGGTCACTGCTAATATGCAAATCGCTTGAGCTCCAATGATGCCTCCATGTGTATTCGCCTTGGTCCATCAGTAGTTGCGAAACTGCGTCACAACTAAGGCCTAACGGTTGCATCCCTTTGAACCGTGCTCGTCTGTGCTGACTAGTGACAACAGCAGAAGGGCTCCATTATTGATTTGGATATTCACAACAATATGAAATCATTTCACTCTACTCTTGTGTTTACACACCATTCATCGACTTGATTGCTTGTTGTCTACAATAATGTGACTTGCCTTTTCAAAGTGTGGCCGAGCTTTAGATATTTTCGATTACTACGTATCAGGTAAGCGCCTGGTGCTTGGGATCGGTCACCACTCAATCCGTATCATCTTCATTGCTGTAGTGCAGCTTGCAGGTCTGCGTTTTTTAACTATTTCCTTGGCATTTTATCGCGAAGCACCGATTTTATCGCTGCTCTTATTGCAGGCTCCCGAAGGAGAAACCCAGCCAAGTGTCCCCGTTGAACTTTTTGTCTCGACGGAGCGTATCCTCATTTTAAATAAGGACCTTGATGTACGTTAGGAGTATTTTTCTTCAACTTTAATTGATTATCCTCAGAAATTCTTCTGATAAGTATTACTAGCTTAATAGAACAACAGGTTGTTTCTTGGAAGCTTTGACGTCGTCCATTTGCTTTTTTAGGAGATAGTCATGGACCACGACCTACGCCTCATTTCTTACATCGCCGACGTGGGAAGTATCTTGGTACTGATGGTTCGACGCCCCTATCCGTCGGTCCGACGCTTTAGCTCCTCTACCGGCACTCCCTCCTCAACTCCGGCCGCATCTGCTGGGGCATCTGCGCCTCCGCCACCCTCCGAAGGCTCACTTGAACTTCCCTTAGCTAACGAATCTGCTAATGGTTGCAGCGACATCATTGACACCGATACTGGACGTGATCGAAATCAAGCAAAGATCATTTGTCATCTCTTCGAAAGTGACGAGGTATGGTAAATCACCTTCTTATTGTGCGTTGTGACTATGTTCAATGTATTACTTACTTGTTGCGTGTGAATGTTTTACTGAGAACTGTAGGTTATTGGAAGCCGTTGATATTTGAACTGCCTCTACTGTTTCATATGTACATTTTGTGTGGAATTTAAATGTCTAAATGCCCTTGGCAAGAGGAATGCATTGTGTGGTAAACGGTACTAAATTCGTATATTTCCCTCCTCTGAATATATATTTGGTAATTTTAGTTTGTTGCACCCACTGCGGTCTCATGAGTGGGTATAGTTGTTGCTCAAGAGGTTTTGTTTGTGTCATTGGTCTTTGCAGCTGTTTTTGCTACACCACCATTTACTTTCGGAAAAAATAATTATTCCTGCACATTTTGTCATGAAAAAAACTTGTCAAACATATTCTCTTCAAATATTGGAGTTCTTATTTCACCTGCCGATAACTTTTATGATAATATGTTTTGGGAGGGGTTAAGATTTCTAACTTATTTAATTGCTACAAGAAAATTTCTTGGCGCCGATGAACCTACATTTGTTTGCAAATTATTGGTATTTTTTCACGGATTTCGTGCAAGCAACGCATCTTTGAGATGTTTACCCGTAGTGCGCTTAATTCATTGCACTTTCCGTCGCCATAGACGCAGATGATTGCTCAGGCTATTGGTAAGGCCTTCCATGAGGCCTACTTCGATTTTTTGCGTCAAAGTGGCGTTGAGGATCCGGAAGCTTTCCAGGAGCGTAACTACCAAAAAATACTTCACCAACAGGAGATCTTTCGAAATGAATTGGCCTTTTTCGCTGACAAGGAGCAAGAAAAGGAGGTTTGTCAAGTTATCCTTGCATGTTCATTGTTTCGTATTATTGGCCGTTGAATGCCCCAAGAAAACTATTCAACTTGTTATTATGTCTTCATTACTGAAACTCCATCGTCTTATCTAAAAAGGGGACTCCTCCTTCAAGCTTTCTCATCTCATTTTTATCCGGAGGAACTGTTAGCACCATCAGGCACGCAAATTTGTACAATGAAGAATGGGTATTCCAACTAAACGCACCATTAAGTATTGAGGCAATTAAGAGTCATCTTCGTTGGGCATAGCTCTCCTAAATATTCAGGACCCTTTCTTCTCGCCTTACGCGTTTGGAAATTGGCGTACTGTACTAATAGGAGGAAATGGGTGGGCTTATCTGCTAAATAAATCCTTTGTGAGAACACAAACTGTTATTTAAATACTTTGTCTAGCATTTTATTTATGGTTACTTGACCTGGTAGTTGATGATTAAGAAGGGGTTGAGGTGGTGCTGAGGGTATTTTCCTTTTTTGCGAGTCATTTAAATTGTTTGATAGAATTGAGAAGAATGAGATGATTGCAGGCATGACCTAGTGATCAAACTGAAACATTTGATGTGTTTTTTGCCACATGAATGTGCAGGTGATAGTGCCAAAGCAGAAAGGCGAGGCGATGGGTGTGGTAATAGTGGAGTCAGGCTGGGGCAGCGTGCTACCTACTGCTGTACTTGCCAATATGTGCCCCTCTGGCCCTGCGGCGCGCTGCGGGCAGCTGAATATCGGCAACCGCATCATCTCCATCAACGGTCAGAGCCTCGTCGGTCTTCCCCTCGCCACCTGTCAGTCTCTCTTCAAGGTACCTTACTTTTTGGCAGTGGAAACATCCGATTTTACTGTCATTTTTTTTCCTTCTCAGTCATTCCTCAAGGGGTGGTAAAATTCGTTGAATCATCTTACCCTATGTTCATCTTTAGCATTATGTTAGTCCCATAGTCGATCAATTTAAATAGCCTTAGTTCATCAAGATTTCATTCACTTAACTCAAATGGAGAGAGATTCTTTTAAAGTTCCCCCTTAGTTTACTTATTTACAACGTAGTTTCGTTAACGCTCAAATAGGCGACGAAGAACCAGACGGCAGTGAAACTAGTGATAGTGAACTGCTCACCAGTAGTGGAGGTGCTTATCCGACGGCCGGATCAAAAGTTCCAGCTGGGCTTCAGCGTTCAGGATGGAGTAATCTGTAGCCTTTTGCGCGGCGGGATAGCAGAACGCGGAGGTATTCGTGTGGACCACCGCATCATTGAAATCAATGGGGAGTCGGTAGTTGCGGTGCCCCACGAGTATATCGTTAATCTCCTCGCCACCTCTGTTGGGGAGATCTACATTCGCACAATGCCAACTTCTATATTTAGACTTCTGACTGGACAGGATACACCCCATTACATCTAAAGGGTGCGTTTCTCCAAAAATGGAACCGTAAATGTTGGTTATTTCTCATACCATCACACGCGCTGTGCCACTCTATTCTAATGCTCTTTCCTCTAACTTGTGCTGCATTTGTCTTTACTTTTAAATACTTACGCGCTTGGACAACCACCTCTGTAAATATCATTTAACCATTTGTGTACATTCAATGTCTAATTTCGCATTGTAATGCTCCACTTGGCTATTCTCTCAAGGCTTCCATGGAGCATTCCTCCTGTTTCTCTGCCCCTCCGCTTGCATGCACCAGTGTTTACAATTCTAGGTAGTTCCGATGAAATCTTCTTCGATGCTTAAGAAGGTTGGACGGTTTACGAATTGATTATGATTGAGTTCCCAAATTGTATCATGAGAAGGTGGCGGAAGGTGACTGATTTGTCTTTCAAAGGAATCAATAAAATAGTCTTTCACGGGGTGAACGCGTTGAAACTTCACAAACCTTATATCATAGAAAATGTACACATATTCACATGTGTGTATCGGTGGTGGCATTCTCGAGTCGGAATTAGTTGAAGATAGTGAATCTAGCGAGGGAAGGTCATTTCTGCGATATTCTATCGGATGTAAAAGTGCTGTGACGTGGCGCCAGTGGAGTTGTGCTTTGTGCAACCATTGTGAAGGGGTGAGTCTGGAGGACGTCTTCTCGTGGTAGGTGGCTGCGGTGTCCGGGGTGCGATGCGCTGCTGTGCTGACGGAGGCGGGGTCATTGTTAATGGCCTAGTCACCTGATTGGTCGCGCCAAGATTGATGCCGGAGCCTTGAAGTCTTTGTAGCGGTGGTTGCAACGCCTGGAAAGATGAGGAGCGCGCTCGCTCCATTGACGATTGCTTGGACTCAGTTACTCTTTTTTGTGCTTGCAAACCTGCATCAAGGCCTCTACTCACTCGTTCCTTGGCTACCTGGTAGTCTCGCAGCAGACCGATTCCATACTAAAATGCAGTGCGGCCAATCACTACTTTTTTCATTCAGTACAACTCCTAACTGTGTAGAATTTGGTAGTAGAGATCTGAGAGCGGTCAGTGTCATGGGAACGAAGGGATAGAAGAGAATTTCGTACCTTGGCTAATCGAAGTCGGCATGCCCACTGCTTCAGCGCATTTTCGTCTGGGGCGCAAAAGCAGAACACATGGGATGAACTAAAATCTTGTGCAGCGTAAGTCTACAACATAGGTGGAAAATTGCCTGCGGCTTGAATCGCATTGAAATTAATTCGTATGTTTCAAGCTAATGCAATGTAGAATGAGGACGAGGAGATTGGAGGTTTGTGTCTTTAAAAAATTGAGATGAATTAGAATCAAAGCACGGTCACTACAAGTAGTTAATGAACGCCTCAGATCCTTTGCAGAAAATTTTATCTGAGTTTAAGCTTAGCATGAATTCGTTTTAACTCATGTGTATTTCAACATAGCTGGTGTAGTAAGAAAGTCGGATGATCATTTAGACTTTAAAAGTTACTTTTAAATCTGAATTAAGTTTACAACAACTGGAGATCACCTGGTACATCCTCAGTTGAGACCCTTAAATTAGTCCTGAGCACCATCCGCATTACCCTGAGTACAAGCTGCTGATGACTTCAGCTAGGTTTACTGTCAAATTTAGCTTTCGACTTCATTCAATTTATAACAATAGGCCTCTGTTACACTGTTGTTAACGACCAGCTTCTGACGCCTAAATGACTAACTAATGCTTAACTAAGGTTTTTTAAATACAAGAAGATAGGAGTGGCATGGGAGGACCAACTTTGAGTGCGAATCCATGAGGTGTTGGTGCCCGCATTCGACTCCACCCGCCGGTGGTTGTGTAGATATGCAGCTTGTCGTCCAATGCCAGTAGTCTAACTAGGTCGCTTGCCTTCGGAAGACGGAAGAGGAAAATTGAAACACTGCCTACTTTGCAATACTGCATTTAGTGAAATGGGCTCCTCGTTGTCACCGCACTATGACCTAGAGAACGTGGCTACTATCAAAGACTAGGCCCTACACTATGGGTGTTCCTTGTCAATTATCAATCAAGTGCTTGAATTCTTGTAGTGCTGATGATCTGTATCAACCGGATAGATTTTTACAACCTCTTATAGCAAAGACAAACGACGCTCGTGTATGTCAACAACAGATTGCTGAAATTATTAGACCATTTAAAGATACTGCCTAAAATTATGGGTTCGTTTTTAGCTTTGTAGGAAGTCCACTGAATGTCTTTCAATGGATGGACGAGAGCCATTTTACTTGCTTAATAGTGATACTCCCAATTATTTGATGGTCATCTTAAATGAGGCTGCAAAAGTACATACCAAGAAAGCCTTTTTGTTCTTCTTGGTGGCATAGAGACCCGAATTGCGGAGAACACACATTCTCCTTGTCCAGGTCTTCTCACCCGGTTTCCGGATATACAAGAAATCGTGCCACTCTGCCAGTCCAGAGGAGGTAAAATTCTCCAACATTGTCTAAATGATACGAGCGGACCCGGCACAATCACAAATTCAAGCACACAGTGGAGGTGCAAAAAAGAGCCTGCTTGGACTAAATTGGCACCAGTCAATGGAAATGCCGTTCAAGAACATGCGCCTTGACTTCAAACTATTAATTTAAGCAGCAGTCAAGGTGAGATTGTTGAGCAAAGGAAAGCATTGTGAATTGATATCGGCCACTCGGCCTATGTCTCGTAGAATGGGATGAGTTGTAGGGTGTAGAAACAGATTTGAAGGTGTCAAAGCAGTCAACAGGTGTTTAAAGCATCAAATCACCTGTACAGAATCACTGGAGTGGAAGCCATGAGCGTTGGCGTAGGTTTCACCAAGCCAATCCTATAATAAAACAACAATACGTAGTTTTAAAAGCATCGCCTACTGAGACATTCAGACGAATACCCAAGCTCAAAAAGCACACTTGAATTTGGAATTAATTTTTAGGCAAATGAGTGGCTCATTTTAAATCCAAGATATTTTGCCCAAATTTGATCCGACCGACAGCCACAGGATGGCAATAGCAAGACTGACCTTCATCTCCATATAACACGGCCCTCTTTTACACAATCCGTATTCTCTTAATTGGCCTCAGAATATGGGCAGTTGTATTTCACTCCCTTAATTTACCTTGCCAATAGCAATAATGCGGCAGAGCATTTGCTAGACTTTCAATTCAATTCAGTGCAGATTCACATCGCATTTCTCGAAGGCGATTGTGTTCACATTTCGGCCCTAGCGTTAGCAACTTTTTGTCCTTGGAAATGTCAGCTCGAGTACCTCACCGACAGCTTTTGTGCCCCAACAATGAACAAGTGGTTAGTTTTTAGAAAAATATAGAAAAAGCCCTAACGTTCATATGCATTGGAACGCTTTGAAGGCGGAAGGTTGGTGTGGCATAGGGAGGAGAGACAGATGGAAGACCGTTTTGTAAGCGAAACTAAATGTGTTTATTTGCAGCTAACACACAATATAAATGGAAATGACTTACTTCGGGGGATTCAATGAATCCAAAATGATCGTCTCGACTCTCGAAAAAGATCATGTTCTGACTCTTGATAGGCCAAGCAAGAATGCACTCCGCGACACTGTCAGACTCCTCGAATACTCTCTCTAGTAAAAAGGTTCGCTTATTGTTGGCTGTAGCCATTGTAGCATTTTGGGAGCAATGGAAAGGCAAAATTTGATTTTATGCTTGAAGAGGACTAGTTTTGATTGATGTGGGGTAAGATTAAGAGGCTAGTCGCATCAGTAATTGGTTTTTTCTATCATGCTCTGAAATCTTGCTATGGGATCACGCCGAGGGACTGACTCTGTTTTTAATGCTGCAAGATGTGGCGACGTTGGCATGCGGAGTCATAATAAATTTTCGTCGGGCGACACACACGTGCAGCACCCTCAAATGTCACCCTCGCATGAGGAACAAATAAGGTGAATGCTTTTTTATAACTCCCGCAAAATCCAACAATCAGCACACCTGTGATACATTTCACGATGTGGCAGTAAGTTTTGGTGTTATGACCAACTGTTGATACCACAATACGACCATCCGCGCCTCTATAAGAACAAATCATAACT